AGAGGTTATTGCAATAGTTAACGTGTGAGGAGTTGAAAAAAGAAGGATTTTGAAGGGTAAAATTCAGAGTTGGCAGTTGCCTTGTTAGGAATTTAAGAATGAGCATTTAGTCAAGGATGACTTTCTATCATTTTCATCTGGTGTCTGGGTTTGGTGAAAATAGCCGGGTCCACATGGCAAATAGATTAGAGTGAAAAGATGAATTGACAAACCTTAATGGTGTGTATGGAATACATTGTGTTTATTCAGACAGAGCACAACATGTATTTTGATATTAAGTGAATGATACATAAAGTGAAGATACATGCACCCCAGTGTTTGCAGCAGCACTGTTTACAATAACCAAGGTATGGAAGCCACCTAAGTGTCCATCATCAGATGAATGGATAAAGAAGATGCGGTGTACATATATACAATGGAGTATTATTTAGCCATAAAAAGACTGGAAATTTGCCATTTGTAACAACATGGATGCACTTGGATGGTATTGTGCTTAGTGAAGTAAGTCAGACAGAGAAAGACAAATATCATATGGTATCATTTATATGTGGAATCTAAAAAAATGGTACAAAACAGAAACAGACTTATCAGTCATAGAAAACAAACTTATGGTTACTAAAGGGGAAAGGGAGGTGGGAGAAATAAATTAGAAGTTTGAGATTAACAGATACTCATTACTAGGACCTACTGTATAGCACAGGGAACTATATTCAGTATCTTGTAATAACCTATAATGGAAAAGAATCTGAAAAAGAATATATATATATATATGTATATATGTATATGTATGTATATAACTGGATCACTTTGCTGTACACCTGAAACACATCATTGTAAATCAGTTGTACTTCAATTTAAAAAAAGGTGAATGACGAGGTGAGGCATTCCCAGGAGACCTCTCCGCCCACCTGTTGGATAGTGTCTACCTGGGATTTCAAGGTGAAAGATGAGATGGAGGCTGAAATTTTTCCCTTTCGTGTGACATTTGGCCTTTCTGTTTATGGCTGAGGGGAGGAAGAATCGCTGGCAGACTTTCAGGTAGGGCAATTTGATTTGAGACATGTGTAAATGTTTTTAATTGATGTATTATAGTTCTGTTTGTAAATCAGGAGTACATGTTAGATTCAACTGGTGAGCTTGAATTGAGGACTCTGTGGAAGACAAAGTTTAAGGAAAATATGCTAGGAAATACATGTCTATTAAAAATCTGTTGTTTATAGTCACCTTTAGAAATTATTTTTTGTCTTCCTTTTGGAGAAAGAAAACTTTCAGAAGGAAAAGGAGATTTTTTTTCCTCTTTTTTAATTGAAGTAGAGTTGATTTACAGTATTTGTTTCACATATACAACATAGTGATTCAGTATTTTTATACACTGAAATTGTTTATTTTTAGCTTTTATTTTTATTTTATCTCTTTATGTAGCTGTAATGAGATTCTTATCTTTTGCATACAAAATGTACTTAGATTATTATTTTAAGGTAAAGTTGTGGTGGTGGTTGCCAGTTTGGCTTAAATGTAATTTAAAGAGAACAAAGTAGTACATAATTACCTCATGTGAGAACAAACCACTGGTTTCCTTAAATTTGCATCTTATTTTTTTACAGAAGTTAATGAAAGAGTGCTGAAACAGTGCTGGTATAGCTAGCCAGCTTGTCTGTGCTACAACTAGTAGGCCATTTTCCTTCAACTCTAGTACTTAAGGTTGTGTTCAGTTTTCCACTCTCAGGTATAAGAGGTAATGGGAGACAAAAATATCTAAATATATGCAGAAATATCATGCCTTTTCTACTTATATGTTCAATGGAAGTAGAGTTGTTTTCCATAGAAAGGATGTACTCAGTGCTTCTGTATATATGTTCCATCTGTTTTTTTCTGGCATGTAGATACTTCAATCTGCAAATGTTGAAAACAACTAGTGATTTGACTTGAAACATGATTCTTACTGATGAATCTGTTTGATTGAAGCATATTATGAGATTTTTAAAAAATGGTTATCTAAACTAATCTATGTGAGTCAAGATTGTCTTTCTCTTCTTTTGGTTATTCAGGCTATTGGGTGCATAAACCTGTTATTGCCATCTATTACTTTGATTTAAAATTTAGAGTTTAATTCACATTGAGTGAATAAAGTTAAAAGGTTACACTTAAACTATATATTTATAATACAATACCACTTTTAGCTTTTTTTTAATATTAGGGTTTGAGGTAAGATTTAGTTTGAAAAATAGGATTCTAACTACTAATAAAGATTTAATAGCTTCCATATTATGCACTGATTTTTTTAAATGAGGTTAGTTTTCCAAACTGAAAAAGTGGTTTGAGAAATGAAGTATACTAAGAGTAGAAGTATTCCTGAGAACTGAAATCTGAAGATTCTTTAAGGTGAGGTTTTCTTTTTCCATCCCTTGTTGAAACTTTACTCCTAAAGACTGAATTGAAGGACAACCCACAGAATGGAAAAAATATTTGCAATTCCTGTATCTGGTAAAGGATTAATATCCAGAATATATAAAGAACTCTTAGCACTCAATAATATGACAAATAACCATTAAAAAATTTTTTTTTACCAGAGCCACTGGGGGATTGAATCCAAGACCTTGCACATGCTAAGCATATGCTCTACTACTGAGCTATAGCCACCATATATCCCAGTTCATTTTTTTAAATAGGCAAAGGACCTGAGCAGATAATTCTCCAAAGAAGATATACCAAAGGTTGATTAATACATGTAAAGATGTTCAACATTAATAGCCATCAGGGAAACACCAGTCAAAACCACAGTGTGATACCACTTCATACCCACTAGGATGGCTACAATCAAAAAGACTAATAACAAATGTTAACTAGGATATCAAGAAATTGGAATGCTCATGCATTGCTGGTGGGAGTATAAAATGGTGCAACTGCTTTGAAAAAGTTGGACAGTTCCTCAGAACTTTAGCATAGTGTTACCATATGACCCAGCAATTCTACTTCTAGGTGTGTGTGTGTATATATATATATATATACTCGAGAGAAATGAAACACGTTCACACAAAATCTTGTACACAAATATTTGTAGCATTATTTATGATAGCCAAAAAGTGGAAACAATTCAAATGTCTATCAGCAGATGAATGGATAAATAAAATGTGGTACATTCATACAGTGGAATATTATTCTACAGTAAAAAGGAATGAAGTACTGATGTATGCTACAACATGGAGGAAACTTGAAAACATGTTTTTTTGTTTGTTTTTAAACTTTTTTTTTTATTGAGTTACACTCATTTTGCAATATTGTGTCAAATTCCAGTGTAGACCACAATTTTTCACTTATACATGAACATGCATATATTCATTGTCACATTTTTTTCACTGTGAGCTACCACAAGATCTTGTATATATTTCCCTGTGCTATACAGTATAATCTTGTTTATCTATTCTGCATATACCTGTCAGTATCTACAAATTTTGAACTCCCAGTCTATCCCTTCTCACCCTCCTCCCCCATGAGCAACCACAA